GCCCCTGGATTTTGGGACCTTTGGGAGCCCAGGCTGTGGTGGGGGCTCGGGACCCTCGCTGGTGCCCCCCTGAAGGAGCTGTGCTGTCCCCAGGTGTACGACACGGAGGAGCAGTGGGTGCAGCTGCCCCCGGGGCCAGCTGAGGTGTGGGTGCAGGCCAGGGACCGCTGCTACCTCAGCTCCTGGAGCTCCTGGTCCTCGCTCTGCAGGTAAGGACCCAGCCAGGCTGGGCAGAACCCAGAGTTCTGATGGGAACCCACATGGAAATGACATTTCTGATGTTATTTCACAGATAAACTGCAAGGAGGGTGGCACAGTGCTCCCAGAGAAAGCAAAGAATGAATTAGCACAAGAACAGAAGCACAATTAGAAAAGAAATTTCCATTTGAGATTCTTAAGAAGCCATAACTTTTTTTATTTTTTGTAACAGTTGAATGTTGTCCTGATTTTGGCAGCTTCCCAGATTCAAGTTACACTTTTAGCATCCATCATGTTACATGAACACGATTTTGACATGTTACTGGCAGCTATTATTGTATGTCCTTAGATTATTATTATTATTGTGCCTTTATTTATTTCATATTTATTTATTTATATGCTATTTATCTATTTAGTATTTATTTAGTATTTAATAGTTATTTATTTAATTATTTAGTATTTATTTATTTATTTATTTTTCTATTTATTTATTTATTGGCTTTGCAAGGCCAGTGGATGGCAGTTGCTGTTCAAACCACTGCATGTGTTAACTTATTCGGAAAGTCACTTCCTGAAAGAACTGTTTAAACCTTCCATTATTTAATGATTTGTTTGTTTATTTGATATTAATTTGTATTTTTTTTTTTTGTGGGACAAGCACAGAAAGCCTTGGCTGCCTGAGCAGCTGGGTGTGGGGTGCACAGGGCACAGTCAGGACCCCTCAGGGCAGCTGGAGCTGAACCCCAGGGTGTGAGATGCCCCAGAGTGTGTGTGAATGTGAATGTTAATGGTGCCATGAAATCCGATTTTTGGAGCAGAGATTTTTGTGGCCCACGTTGCCAGTGTGCCCCACCCTGTGCTGGTGTGTTCACAGAACCTCAGGGAAACTCCTCCTCAGGGCCCAGCTCTCAGGAGTTGAAACGTTTGTATTTTCCATGGAATCCTGGAATTCCAGGGTTGGGAGGACCTTGAAGCTCATCTGTCCCAGGGCAGGGACACCTCCCACTGTCCCAGGGTGCTCAGAGCTCCACCTGGCCCTGGGCACTGCCCGGGATGGATCCTTTCCCAAAACACTGAGCCCTGACTTCCAGGAGGACAAAATACTCTGAAATATCTTTGAATATTGAGGCCTTAACCTCTGGTACGGAATCACTGACATTAAAGTCTTCCATTGCAACCATGTCTTAGCCATGGGTGGTAATTTAAGATATTTAAACACTGAAATGTGTGAAGTATCTGATATTTCAGAAAACTGCTGATAATTTATTTACAAGTCCTGTTGGTATTTATTAATATTAAGTTTACATGTCTTATTTTGGCTAGAAAGGCAATTTATGTGCTTGTTTACAAAGGAGCTAATAATAAACACACCTGAAAACAAAAAAATTTGGTTTATTTGTGGTCTTTTAAGAATGGTTTGTGTCAGTATTCACTTTTGTACCAGAGGATCAGACACTATTTCTGTCTCAGTGTCTGCAGGGCAAATGAATTACTACTAATTAATAACACCAAATTCCCAGCCTGTAAAAGTGCAGAGATGGCCTGGCCAAGGGAGCAGGGTGTGCCAGCAGGATTGCTGAGCCCTGCCTGCAGGAGGGGAAAGCTCTTTGTGCTCTCCAGCTCTGAACTGAACCCACCTGCCCCAGATTTGGGGTCACAGAACCCTCCTGGCCCTCAGGGTTTCATCCTTGGCCCCCTTGAAACCAATCCCTGGAACCTCTCCTGAGCTTGGGCCCAGCCCAGTCTCCATTCTTGGAATATTCAGCTAAATTTTAAAGCCTGAATTGATCTTTGCCTTTCAGAATGTGCCTTTCTGTGCCAGAAAATGAGAGAGGCTTCAGGGGGAAGGCAGTGGCTGAGTTTATTCAGGAAAATAACAGAGCTGAGCCTGGAGCTGCCCCTCTCTCTGCAGGAACCAGCTCACTGGCAGCTGGCTGCTCCCTAGGGCATAAATTGGCTTTGATCCCCAATAATCCATTCCCTGGGCCTTCCATGGACCCAAGAGCCTGGGAATGTCTCCTCTGGGAATTGTCAGGCTCCCATCTCTGCCTAGATTGGATAAAAAGCAAAAAATATTCCCTGTGGTGGCTCCACACGCAGGAGATCACATTCTAACATGCTCCATCCATCCAAGAACATAACAATTGATGTGTCAGTCAGCCCCTGGGCTTCTCCTCTTTCTTTCCTCTCCTTTTGCACTGTAAATAATCTGGAAACCTCTGGAAATGTCAAGTGCACAGACTCAGGCTGCACAATGTACAAAATTCCTCCCCCTTGCCCAAAAAACCCCCTTTGGACGGCAAAATCTGAGCTTCTGACATCAAATTTTAGATCTGATTTATTCCTGAGAGAGTCATTGACAGCATAAACCCCAGATTTTTCTGCTTTTTTCCCTGCTCCTTTTCCCAGTCCCACCGTTCCCTGGGAAGGGGCAGCTCCTCCAGCTCTCCATTCATCCCCATCACTCAGCCCTGGCTTTGGGCTGGGTACCACGCCTGCCCTGAGCAGAGCCTGACTAATTCCCCCCAGGCCTTTCTGTGGGTGCTGCTGGCCCAAGGAATGCTGCCCGATAAAGACGCCGTGTCCTTAATGAGGCACTAATTGGTCACGGTAGGAATTTGCTGTTCTCCAAGAGCTTCAGCCCCTGAGCTGGGCGAGCAGGCACTTGCTGAGAGCAAAAGGGGGACAAAGCTGATGTTTAATGAGGGGGTCTGGGGGAGAACACAGATTTCAGCTCCAAATGCTTCGTATCCACCCCTGCTCCATGCTGGTCTTCCTCCCACCCCTCTCCTTCATAAGTTGTAGCTTCTCCTCTAGAAAAGTTTTATTTTTAATAAAGGGAAAAGCAATGCACGTCCTCCAACCCTGCTGTGAGCCATGAAAACATTTCTTGAAATGTCACTTTGATTGACTTTGGTGTGACAGAAGGGCAAAGTCAAAACACCAGGAAATTGCATCTTGAGGCGATTTCAGATCTGTCCTTTTCAAAGCCCATTCCGTGGAGGTGTTAAACCATTAATGCTTTGTTTTTGTGAAGAATCAGCTCAGAACATCAAAGGGCTTGATGTCTTGTGAAGGCTGAGCTAGAACAGAGACCAGAGAGAGCTAAAGAATAAAGGAGGGATTTATTAAAAGGCCTCAGTGGATCCACCTTGGGCAGCACAAGAGCCCAGCCAGGGCAGGATGACCCAAAATGGTCCCAAAATGCACAACCGCTCACGGGGTCTCTCACTTTGGTAAGTTCTGCTCCATTTGCATCTTGGGGTTAATTGTCCCATTCTAGCTTTAGGTTATCAAGTCCCATCCTTCTTGTTTTTCTCTCTCCAGCCCACGGTGTTTGTGCTGTTGGGCTGAGATTTGGGTCATTTGTCCTTGGTGCCCAGCTGGAGCAGGAATTGTTTTGTGTCCCTGCTCTGTGCACAGAGCTCACCATCCCCTAATGTGAAGCTCAGAACTGCACGCTAAAGCAGCACAGAACCTGAAAAATAGAAAAGCCAAAACCTGAGACGTAGCAGGACACAGGAATCACAGGATCCCTGAGCTGCCTGCAGGATACCGGAACCACTCCTGGCACTGTGTCCCAAAGAGATCAGAAGGGAAAAGGGAAACAAAGATCAGCTCCAGCCTTTGCACGGCCTGCTGGGTTTACTTTTAGCTTCTGAGACAACACACGAGGCCTTGAGCAGGGCTCTGGTCTGGCGTGACACCCACAGTGCTGAAGGAAGGCTCTGATCTCCCACAGGGGTGGAAAACAGGGAACTCACTGATGCCTTCAGAGGCTGCCTGGGACAGAGGCTGGGCAGAGCTAAATGAATAAATAGGTTTTTATTAAAAGCCCTTCACAGGACACACCTTGGGCAGTGCAAGACCCTGACCAAGGCTCCACCCCAGATGGATCCTGGCCACGAGTTCTCACACTTTGATAAGTTTGGGTCCATTTCCATGCTGGGGTTCAGTGTCCAATCCCAGCTCCAGGTGATGCAGTCCCACCCTCCCAGGTTGCTCCCCTCCATTCCCTGTTGTTTGCACTTTTGGGGCTGGAGCTGCAGCGGTGTCCTTGGTTGTGGGGCTGGAAAAGGATTGTTCTGTGGGGCTGAGCTGGGAGCAGAACTGCTGACACTTTACATGGAGTGCAGAGTCACACACCAATGCAGTGCAGAGTCTGGGAAATAGGAAAGCTCAGACTGAAGGCATCATCTCCTTTCCCAGGCAAACACCCAAAGGCTGTGGCACAGCCTGAACAAAGGCAGCCCTCGCTTCTCAAACCCTGCATTGAGCAAGACTTCAAAATCTGATGCTTTAATTGCACCTGGGCGGACAACCCTGAGCCACCCACCCTGGCTGGGGCTGGGGATGAGAACACCGGGGATACCAGGGAGGGGAGGGCCCCGTGACTGCAGCAGCCCGGGCTGGAGCCTCCCTCCTGTCACAAAGTGGTTTTTTCACCTTTTCCACGTGCTGTTCGTCATCTCTGTGGATGCCCCGCATGGGAGGCTCTCCACGCATGGGTGGGAGCAGGTTCCTCCTCTGGAATGCAGCCAGGGAACATCCTGCCATGCACTTAACTCGTGACCTGCTGTGGCAGCATTTTTGGCATCCCACTGGTGCTCCAACCAGGCCTCCAAAGCTAAAAGCAATCTCAGATTTGGAATAAATAATAATTGGGAAAATTTTCTTACCCTCAGAAAAATGCACACTAATATTGTAGCACATGTAACACTGGAATTGCTTTTTCTGCTTCAACAAATCAACTTGGAGGGATAAGAATTTGGGAAAAAACCAGGATGCAATGGCAAAGGTAGAAAATTACAGGAGTTCCACAATTAACTTACAGGTTTGCTGATGAGGGTAAAATTGCACTCACAATTCTTCAATATAAACAATTTATTTACCATATTTATCTCAAATTTCAGAATGAGTTCAGCAATTACTCCTTACTCACCCAGCTTTGGGAAGCAGCTGTTCCTATACACATCCCAACATTTGTTTTCCAATGAACTTTTTTTCCATGGTGGCACTTCATTGCCCATGTTTGCCTTGTCAAACGTTAATTTATGAGGACAAAGACACCACAAGGTCCCTGAAAATGCCAGCAACAGTTGACCTTCTCCAGTGGGAATGGCAGACCCAGTTCCACTGGGACGGCCCACGAGGTGACCTGGCTGCCCACACCCTCTGGCCCCTTTAGGACAGACCCATTTTCACAATCTCTGGGATCTCTGTGGGTAACCTGCCTCCATGGCTGACTCCTCTCACGGTTGTGAAATTTGTTTTGCTCCCATCTAATTGGAATTTCTCTCCCTGCAATTTGCTCTGTTCCCTCTTCCTTTCACTCTGCAGCTCCAGGAGGGCTCTGGCTCCCATTCTTTGTGTTTCCTCCCTCTCCCAATGGAACCAACCCCTTCTCCCAAGTTTTCCTCTGTGTTTCACCCCCTCAGCCCTTGGTGCTCCCCCA